AGCGTTAGATTACTGAGCAAGCGTTTTTGGTAAATTCGCTGAGAATGGAGAATGCTGCAAGGATGCGGAATTTGGAATGTACTATACTAATGGCTCTTGCGGTGAAGCCCGCGGGAATAGTATAGCAGGTCTGCGTTACGTCTTTTACGTGTCGTTCCCCATTTGCTCTGCACCGCAGTTCTCCGTGAACAAACTGGAGGCTGCTTACGATTTCCCGTGAAACGTTGGCCCTATCGTCTGTGCCCGGCATCCAAAAGTGGACCGACATCCAAAAGTGAGAGTGCGTCATCAGAGATGTCATGTTACTGACAGGAACACGTGAACTGTCCGGCACCTCGCAGAAGTTTCTTTTGTAGTTCGCGTTTTCGCGCTAAGGCCCGTATAAGCTGAAATCGCTTTGGTTTTACCTTTGGCTGATCAACTTTTTAAATGTCCATTGAATCCTATACCTAGCATCAAAGCGAATTAGATCACAGATGAGTTCCGGCTCACACACAACTTTCCTCTATTACGACTCATACACAACCTTTCCTTCTAGATATTCGGACAAAGGCAATGGCAACACTGTTCTTTGTACAGGCAACAGCATAATGACGCTCTTGAAGGATTGCCCAAAAGGTTGCGTATTTTTGGGGGGTTATTACTATAAGCACATCAGAATTTAACAATGGGATAGTCCGCTCCAACCTCAACCATTTTTTTAAATGATTGCATCATCTGTTTAACTCAGGCTGTGTACTTCACATTCTCCATCAGCAATTCTCAAGCATATAAGGCTATGTTTCTCAACGTTCAGATATACCCGTCTTACGGGGAGTATGGAATCACATGGTATCACAAACCAAGCTGCAGAATAGCGTGGTCGATTTCCTATCTGGCATCCAGCAAGGTAAAGAAGTCTATTGTTACAAATATGTAACGCGAAGGTTTCGTTAGATGTCCAGGAGCGCTTTTGCCCAGTGACTTTAGCGCAAGAAACTTCTGGCAAACAAATGCTTAATTAATGCATACTCACTTAACCAAAGCCGCAAAATGTTGTATGTGGCAAGGTAAACTTTGTAAATGCCACAGACAACATGCCGATTATTTGAATTACACACAGTGCTTGAGGTGTGTGTGCATCAAGCTGTTTGCACGAAATGGTCAGAGAACGATATGTAACCCTTAATTGAAGCGCAATTGGTTCATCATGCGTATGAAAGCAGTTGTAAAACTAAGTTGTGTAGT